GCAAAGGGGTTTGGTCTTGGGTTTTTTATTGCTAAGCATTACCTCTCATGCCCAATGCAGTAATTTATTAATTTGTTAAGAGGCAGCTGTGCAGGAGCATCCCTGTCTTTCATTTGGGATAATACTCTACCCTGAGGGTCACTGTGATCCCGTGGGGGAACGGTGACTCTGGAGCCTGCATCAGGCACCTCGAGTGCCCCCGGGGGTGGGTGTTCCTGGCACAGGGAGGAGCCACCAGCTTGTAACTCCTGTAACTCCAGCTCTTTGCTGGGGCCAGTAATAAGGAAAAGTGCAGAGGCAAAAGATACCCATTCCAGGGCCTGATGGAGCAGCTGCTTTCACGTGTGGATTCTCTACGCCCTGACTCTGAAAAATCGGTGGGTACAAGGTAGCTACCGAGTCTCTGGGTGGTGCAAAAAAGGTTCACTTGCTTGGCTGCTAACCAAAAGGCTGGAGGTTCACGTCCATCCAGAGGTGCCTCCAAAGAAAGGCCTGGTGATCTACTTCCAAAAACTCAGCCACTGAAAACCCTACAGAGCACAGTTCTACTCTGCCACGCGCGGGGTCGCGGTGAGTTGGAATTGACTCGATGGCAACCGGTCATAAGGTAGCTGTAGCCATGCGGGTTTAAGAAAAGGAGGGAGAAGGGGGAAGGGGGGACCCGCGGGCCACGTGGGAGTGGCGGTCTTACTGGGCACGGGCCGCAGCACGTCAGGGATGAGCGTCTCCACCAGCGCCTGGTACAGGATGTGGTCGCAGGTCCGCATCCACTTCAGGATGGGGTCGTATTTGCAAAGAGAAATGAGCTTGTCCTTTGCGATGATGGCACCTTCGAGTTCTTCTTCACTGCAAGGAAACGAGGAGGGTGATGTCAGCTGAGTCCTGGGCGTCTGCCCTCTGCTGGGCATGGGAAACACCACGTGGCAGGTTTTGCGCCCCGTCTGCCCGCCCTCTGCTGGGCGTGGGAAACACCACGTGGCAGGTTTTGCGCCCCGTCTGCCC